GCAGCGCAGCACTCAGCGGAGCGCCAGGGCGGGAGGGGAAGGGGGGCTGGGCTCTGACATTCACTGCCAGGGGGCGTGGCCATGTACTTCAGCGTTACAGACTCACAGACACTGGGCTACTATATATATGATATGCAAAAATCTTTGTTGACTTAGATTACAAATATAATTTGCATTGATACTGCATTCATAACCGTAGTCCCGCGCAGCACTCAGCGGAGCGCCAGGGCGGGAGGGGAAGGGGGGCTGGGCTCTGACATTCACTGCCAGGGGGCGTGGCCATGTACTTCAGCGTTACAGACTCACAGACACTGGGCTACTATATATATGATATGCAAAAATCTTTGTTGACTTAGATTACAAATATAATTTGCATTGATACTGCATTCATAACCGTAGTCCCTGGCTGAGATAAGGGTATGACTTACATGCAAGATGGAAAGATTTTAAGATGAGCTCCCTATTGGTTTCAAATTTCTCCAGCTACGGCATTAATTATGCATATAGAGGAGATTTGCAAGGAAAAAATTCTATTGTGCACAAAAAAGAACTGGTTATATTCTATATCCTTGCCTCGGGATACCCTTTTGTATTAGCTTCTGTTGACCAGTTGTTCAGTTCATATGAGCAATATGATTTCAACCTTAATTTATAAAGATAGAGGTCAGGTTAGAGGATTAATGTTGAGTAAAACCAGAATAAATTTCAACCTTAATTTATAAAGATAGAGGTCAGGGTAGAGGATTAATGTTGAGTAAAGCCAGAATAAAACACAGTGTTAGTTATTTTACTACTTGTTAAACCACAACGTTGTTGTGGATGTATTTTAAATATCATTTTGTATTAGTGTCACCCACACACCTAGTGTGGGTCATTGTCCCATGTAGTGGCACTTAGACCACTTACAGAGAGATAAGAACAAGGGAGCTCTACAGCGCAAGCCTGGAGCCAGCTGGCTTTATAGCTCAAGAGGTAGAGCTCCTACGCTAAGCTCTAGAGGTCCCAGAGTCAAACCCGCTCTTCAGTGGATACCATTGAAATTTCAAAGGCAAAACCACTTTGTGCATATGATGCTCTCCTATCAGCTTCTATCTGATGGGAATTTGTATAGCGTGCTCTGACTTGCTGATCCTCGGAAGTGTGTAAGCACAATAGCTAATGTTGTTGATCCTTTTCCTTTCGCATTAGCCAAGAACAGTATTGTCAAGGGTCTGGAGAATGTGGAAGTCATCGAGGGCGGGGAAGCCCTGTTTGAGTGCTACCTTTCCAAACCCGAGTGCTACAATTACAACTGGCTGATTGATGACGAACCTGCCAAAACCACCGAAAAAATTGAGATGGTTTACTTTGAAAACGGACGCCGGCATCTTCTCCTCTTGAAGAACCTCACCCCCCAGGACAACTGCAGGGTGACTTTCCTGACTAGCGATGCAGTGACGTCTGCATTCCTGACGGTGAAAGGTAACAGCCACAAACCTGTGCGTGGCCTGCTCACTTTCCAGTCTGGAAAGCTGGACAACTCAGACAAATATTTGTTGGGTGCCAGAGATGGGTAGTTCATGAGAAACCTAGAGCTTTGGGCCCCCTGTTTTACTTCTGCACCCTGCAAAGAAATCTTTTATTTTATACTATGCTTCTTAGGTTTCTTGTGAGATGCATTTGGGTGTGGGAAGCAGCATATATCACAGCTCCACTGATGCTTATGTAACCCACACACTTGCCCCTGCTCCACTGATGCTTATGTAACCCACACACCTGCCCCTGTGGAGCGACACTGAGACCACTTACTGAGAGCGAGACTGAGTTTGCTCTACTTCCTTAGCTGTAGAGGCTCATGCACTGACCTCCAGAGGTCCCAGGTTTGGCTCTGCCTGTCTGTTACACTTACACCATAAACAAATGTACTAGAAGCCAGCAACATGCATACAGAGAATGAGTATTCTAATGGGTCACGGATACAGCTATTTCAAGGGTTCCCAGAATACAATTTACATCATGATCATCATAATTATTATCAGTATCATTGTTAATTGCATTAGTTCCTGGAGGCCCCAATCAGGTACTGCACACACATTGAGTACAAAGCAATCACTGTCCCCAAAGAGTTCTGAATCTATTAGCAAACAGTGCAAGACAGCAGAGTGTATTAAACAAACAAATGAGGAGAACAAGGGAAAGGGTGAAACAAGCCTCATTAGGTGAAGTAGAAATAGCAGCAGACCAAATTGCCCGCAGCTCAGGCTACTGGAGGCATGACTCGGGGGCCCTGGCCCAAGCTCCTTCCTCTCCGGTGGTCAGCCCCAACTGAGTGGCTCCCTGAGCTTTTATACCCTGCCTCCCCTGGGAGCATGTGCAGCAGGGCTGTGGGGATGGGGCCTTTTCAGCCAGCTGGGCCGGGGCAACTCCCTGCCCTTTCAGAGCAGGGTAGATATGCCCTGTCACAGGGCTAAATGGCATGTGCCATGAAAAAACAAAAAACCTGAAGAGCTGATCCAAAGCAAACCCTAATTCATGTTAGTAGCCTTTAGTTCTACGTTACCAGCTTGCAGGAGCTACACCCAGAATCTATGAAGCATTGTGCACAAAAAGTGAAACCCAACCTCTCTTCAGAATGTCCAATCTTGGCTCTTCACCCACCCTGGTCTACACTAAGAGATAAGTTTGAGTTCAGATACACAACTTCTGCTACGTTAATTGTGTAGCTTAAGTAACAGTTTCTTAACTCAAATTCTCCCTTTTCGCTTCCCTTACTCTTCGTAGTAGCAGGACTACCAGCATTGACAGGAGTGCCTTCTCAGTTTGTATTAGCTTGTCTTCACTAGACCTGCTCATCTGAACCCTGGAAAATCGACCACGGCAGTTTCGATCTTCTCTGTAGTTCTTCACTGACTTTCACTGTGGAAAAATAGTACAGTAGATTAAAAAGTGGGGAAAAGAGTTGAATTCAAAGGACAAGGTCTGTCATCTTTTGCTCTTGCCGGCACACACAAATCATGCAATAGAGAAAAGATGGAAGTAGTGTAGGCTGCAGGTGGAAAAGCAATTCATATGACCCCCTCCTAACATCTTTCTGTTGATATTCCCTATTTGAAAAGAATAAAGGGAGGATGTTGTCACTGGACAGAGAGGAAAGGAGGTTGTGAAGCATTCTCCTGGAGTGGAAAACAGTGAAGGAATGAATCCCAAATAAAATTACAGAAAAGGGAAAAGAAAGAGGGAGGAACCAGTGAAGTAAGGGTGAGCACAAAGGGACAAGAGATTATTAAAGCTTTGACTCTTTTTTTAGCGTGTGCTTTACAGATGGCTGTGCCCACAACACCACCAAGCTTATGGGGTGCTAGGAATTTCCCACCATTTCACAAGTGTGGCTGCGATTTTCACAAAATGTCAGGAACTAGTCATCTTTTTCTAAGAGAAAACTGCCATTTGCTTGTGCAAAATTTGCCATGCTCCGAATGCATTTGAAGTGTTGTGACTAAAACGGTGAAAAGTCCAGAAGCCTTTGGGTTTGCTTTTACCCACGGAACTTGTCACGCCTCTAGAAAAAAGGACCCTCAGGACCAATAAAGGCCCCTCTCCTGAATCCCATGGGCACAGGTGGATTCTGGCACCAGGACGGAACCCCAGTGACTTAAATGGAGTTCTGCACAAGTGAAAGGATCCACCTACATGTGAACATGCAGAATCAGGGCTAAAGCTGAGATGATAGCCACAGATCGGAGGGAACTCTCCCATTCACTTTGGCACACCAATTTCTAAGGTCTCTGCCACCTCCCACCAGACTGAACAACATAGACCTCAGAAAACTCATCTGTCCAGGTTTAGTTGTCAAAAGATTCAGCACGAAGATTAAGTATAAATCTTGACGCGTAACCTTTGCTTTAGCTGATTACGTATTTTCAACTGCAGGATGGCGCCTGGAAATTTTGCAGCCCCTGGTTGACACGGAAGTCACTGCGGGGGAGCAAGCAACCCTGAGCTGTGTTTTAAGTGAAGCCGTGCCAGTCAGCGAAGTCGCCTGGTATATTAACGACGTGGATATCCAACCCGATGAGCACTGGGAGATACAGGCAGATGGAGACTGCTATACACTGATCCTGAAGAAAGCCCGACCACAACATTCTGGGGAGGTGACGTTTGCTGCAAGAGATGCAATTGCATCGGCCACGTTGTCTGTCATAGGTAGGTTCCTCTAATGTATGTTTCTGCCAGTGCTAGCCATTGGCACTTGCACCACAGAGGGCAGGAGAGGCAGTGGGTTCAAAGCACAGCAGAGCAGATTTAGTTCCATCTCAGGAAAGCCCTCCCAAGTGTAAGAGCAGTAGGACAATGCCTCAGATGTCTAGGGAGGTTCTGGAAGCTCCTTCCCTGGTGGTTTCCAAAGGAGGCTGGAGATCCATCTGCCGTGTGTTACCAGATTTTTACTGGAGAGCACCCCAGCGTTACACTCACATGGATTTATTAAATGCCGCTATTGGATCAAGCAAATAGGGAATGGAACTCCTTCACACATGCGCACCCCCACATTCGGACACTCAAACACTTACACACGCGACAAGTTGCACAGAGAGGGCAGAAGCATGGTGGGTCCGGTGTGTCTGCCTACAGTCACCAATTCAGGCCGGCAAGCAGATCATACGGCCCATGGTCTGCATGCTCTCGTCTCTTTATTGAACTGGGCAACCTCTGTCATGTACACTCAGTTCTTGCTCTGTGTCCGTCACCGAGAGGCCCACCCGGATCTCATTCTCTTCATGCATATTCATTTCTTCTTCTCATCTTCACTGCACCTCCCTTTCTTGCCTTATTCATGTGCAAGCGAAGATTAGATCAGACCTCACCTAGCCCCTGGCTCCAGGTCTGTTGCCTCACAGCTCCTCTCGACAAAGGCACACACATAACCCTATTCCCTCGCTCTCTCCATTCACAGCCCCCCACCAACTCCCTTGTCCCAGAGTAGAATGTTATAGAGTAGTGTTTCTCAACTTTTTTTTATAAAGTACCCCTTTTTTAAAAAAATTCATAAGTACCCCCAGTACCTACAGTTTTCAGACACACACATTTTTTTTCTACCGTTGCAACACATTTGTTTAAACAACTTAATCATAGCCAGGTGGGCGATGAAATCTTTGAGTGTAAAAAGTGCAAAAATAATAAAACGCTGTAAAACTTAAAAACAAAAATTTAGTTTTCTCTACATTTCAGTTGTGTTGACGTACCCCCCAGACTTCTCTCGCGTACCCCTAAGGGTACTCGTACCGCTGGTTGAGAAACACTGTTATAGAGCTTAAAGATTGTAAGTTCCAAAGCTTGCAGAATTTTGCAGAACTTGAAACATGACATGAAAGTTACAGAAAGTTACATGGTTTATAGTAACAGAAAGGCCGTGTCCAGACTCAGGGGTTTTTTCGGGAAAAGTAGCCTTTTCCCGAAAAAACTTCCCCTGCGTCCAGACTCAAGCCGCGTTCTTTCGAAATTATTTCGAAAGAACGCGGCTTTTCTTTCGATGGCGGTAAACCTCATTTCACGTGGAAGAACGCCTTCTTTCGAAAGTTCCTCTTTCGAAAGAAGGCGTTCTTCAATGTAAAGAGGCCGTCTTTGAAAGAGAGCATCCAGACTCGCTGGGTGCTCTCTTTCGAAAAAGCGGATTTCTCTTTCGAAAGATCCGCCTGCAGTCTAGACGCGATCTTCTTTCGAAAGAGCCTCTTTCGAAAGAAGCCTGCAGTCTAGACATAGCCAAAGTGACAGGGCTCACAGGACTTAGAACAAGGGAGAGTTACATGGCTTACAATAGCAGAGAGTTATAGAGAACACCTGAGAGTTACATATCAAGTCACATGACTTATAATAACTGAAAGTTACAGACTTACAATACAAAAAGTTACATGTCTTACGTCCACATTACGCTGGATTGGGTGGAGTTACACAACACCTTGCAGGGTTCAGACACAACGAATCTTACATGTTGGCACCACTGGGCTAAGGAAAGGCACAACGTGTTAGTCACAAAAAGCTTTTGCCCAGAGGGTATAAATTGGGCCACATTTTCCAGTCGTTTCGGATCATCCCAAAATGCTTTTTTTTTTTTTTTTTTGGTGAATTAACTATTCACATGAATATTTTCACTCCACTCTCTATGTCCCCCTCCCCATAGATTACGGTGCAGCACAGGTGTGCAGAGAGTTGTCAGCTGTGCAAAGATGAGTCTGATTTTCATAGGCATAGGGCAGCTCCAGTTCATGGTGCGAGAGATGTGGAGTGTGTCACTCAGATTTCTCCGTATTGCTTGTAATGAAGGGCTTATAGGCAGTCTTGTGAGAGAGCGACAACACTTAAGCGCTACATCATTGGAACTTTGTTGTGCCCTCAGCCCTTCCCGATCCCCCGGAAGATCCAGAGATTTTAAGTAGGAGCCATCACGCTGTCACTCTGTCCTGGTTCACACCGCTGAGCGACGGTGGCTCTGGCATCCTAGGCTACACGGTTGAGAGGAAAACACCCGGTAGTGGCTGGCAGCATTGCAACGAGGAACTTATTCAAAACACGGAGTTTGTGGTGGACAATCTCACACCAGGCGAGCCCTACAGATTCCGCGTGTCAGCTGTAAACAAAGTGGGTGCTGGCGAGCCAGTGCAGTTACCTCAAACGGTGCAGCTAGGTGAGAACTAGAGAGGTCCCCGAGTGCACTGAGAGCTGTTACAGGCCTGTGTTGTGCATGGCATGTCTGCTTCACACGTCCCGTGAGAGCCAAGTGCCTCCACGATAGCTCTGTAGCACACACACGAGACTGAGTGGTGGCGAGGAGGTCGGTACATTGTTTTGGGCAGGAGCAAAGTGCTGGTTATCGACTTGACATCCTTCTCTCCGTGCGGCAGCGCCGTGTCTCGTGGCCTGCAGTGCACCTTTGTGGTGTTCCCAACATCAGTCTTCTCTCGTGTAGAGCAGATGGAATGACTGCGGCAGGGCATGCTGGAATGGCTCTACACCTGGGACGAGGGCACTCCACAGCTTTCGTGCGCATGCCAGGGGGAAGCACTCATTCCTCCTGAACACACCTCTCTCTCTAGGGGGTATTTGTATCCCTCTTGTAATTTAACAGCTTGTCAATGCCACTGTAGGTACCACAGTTGCTTCCGTTGTTTTTTTTGAAGCTCCAGTGGTCATAGAGAGAGAGAGTGTGAAAACCATCATTTCAGTTACCTCCCCGTTGTTTTCTTTGTAAGGCCCCGCTCTACTTTCTATTGCAATGGTGCCTGCTTCCTCCAATGTGATGTTTGCTTTGTATTGGTATGTCTTATCATTTTTTCAAAAGCGCTGGTAAGTTCCATTCCTAAGAGGGAATTTGCTCATGTTTTGTTCTACGGTCATGGCTGAGCTCGGGTGCATTTTGAGTATCGGTGCTCTGCTGCTGTCATGTTAGTAGAAGGTCATTTACCAAAGCGATGAACGTAACAAGGTACTTTCTCACTATTTAAGGGCTGCTGGCTCCGTTATTAGTCACACAAGTGCAGGTGTCATCATGGTTTCAAAACCTGAGATGGAGACATCCATTGAAACCTTTTTTCCATGGTGGATCTTTTCTTCAAAAGTTCAAGGCAGGGGTGGGGAATCTCAGGTCCGGGGGCCAGATGTGGCCCCCAGCTTCCCGGATCTGGGCCCTGAGGCTCAGCATTGGGGAGCCTGCACTGGTGACCCTGCCACCCACCCACAGAGCTGGAGCACACTTAATCTACCAGCCTGGGCCCTCTTAATCTCTGGTGTGTGAGAAGAATGTGGAGAGTGTCTTTCCCCTTCTCACTCCGGGGCTTCTCACTTGTGTCTGGCCCCCGATTGATTTTTCAGTGGGTCAGTGGCTCCCCACCCAAAAAAGGTTCCCCGCCCCTGGTTTAAGGAAATGCCATTTTAGCCTATAAGCTTGCGACCGACTTGGCTACCAAGGGACGAGTGACTGTAAACGGCGGTTCTGCAATGATAAAAATTAGGACGGTCAGACTCAATCATAGAATCATAGAATAATAGGACTGGAAGGGACCTCGAGAGGTCATCGAGTCCAGCCCCCCGCCCTCAAGGCAGGACCAAGCTCCATCTACACCATCAATGACTGCACCCCTACCTGCTTTATGGACCCCTAGAGGGGGAAAGATTAGAGTCCATGAAGCATCCAAGCTTTGAGTGTTGTTATTTTAGAAGGATGTACATTACAGATACATGCAGAACATGGTTTCCTTTTTTTGGGTCAATATCCACTTTTAAGAAGTCTCACACAGTTTCATACACCTTCTTCTTCCTCCAAGATCTAGCCTGCAGTAGCCTTACAATTGCACTCTTAGGGTACGTCTAGACTACATGGCTCCGTCGACGGAGCCATGTAGTCTAGACGTACCCTAAGAGTGCAATTGTAAGGCTACTGCAGGCTAGATCTTGGAGGAAGAAGAAGGTGTATGAAACTGTGTGAGACTTCTTAAAAGTGGATATTGACCCAAAAAAAGGAAACCATGTTCTGCATGTATCTGTAATGTACATCCTTCTAAAATAACAACACTCAAAGCTTGGATGCTTCATGGACTCTAATCTTTCCCCCTCTAGGGGTCCATAAAGCAGGTAGGGGTGCAGTCATTGAGTCTGACCTTCCTAATTTTTATACCTTCCAGTCCTATTATTCTATGATTCTATGATTGAGTCTGACCGTCCTAATTTTTATCATTGCAGAACCGCCGTTTACAGTCACTCGTCCCTTGGTAGCCAAGTCGGTCTTGGAAGGGGATGTGGCTCTCCTGGAATGCGAATTCTCAAGGGAGACCCAAGAGGTAATCTGGATCAAAGGAAAAGAACAAATCCAGCCAGGAGGGAGATATGAAATCAAGTCCGATGGCAAGAAGCAGATACTCATTATTCGTGCTTTTCAACCCGAGGATCAAGGCGTGTACACCTGCATGATCTCGCCCGATATCCGCTCCTCTGCCCTTCTGTCGCTTGAAGGTACAAGAAGTGTGTGTCTAGGCAATGTGATTAGATATAAGTAAGGGTGCTCAGTTAAAGGTTAAGACCAGAATTAATTCAGTTTCCATTATAAGTGCTGTATTTCTCCCCCTGCTAAATCCACAAATCAGCCTCCGCGTTAGTGATGGGGGTAGGAGGCAGGATTTGGCTATGGATTTTGAAGAGATCACACAAGGATTCATGATGCAGTGAACAATGGACACATTCACCAGAGTCCCGAACTTTTATTGACGCTTTAGAGCTAAGAGTAAAATCAACACACAAAAACGGAAGTGAGACATTTTAGTTCAATGAAGTAATATAGCCACAGTCTAGTCCACAGAAAAGGACCTGGGGATGACAGTGGATAAGAAGCTGGATGAGTCAACAGGGTGCCCTTGTAACCAAGCAGGCTAACGAAATATTGGGGTGCATTAGTAGAAGCACATCTGCTGAGTGGATGTGATGGGATAGGACTCACCACAGTGGTGCCTCCTGCTGGCCTTTCTGGGAATTAACTCATTTCCTCAGCAGGGCGTCCTCTTCTGCCCATGTCTCGCCCATTGTCCATGCTGCTGTCTCCACCGTGCGTCTCTGGACCGGCATTGCTCCCTGGACTGCAGTGTCCTCTGCAACTCCATTCTCTCCCCATTGAGGGTACTTGCAGCTCTTGTCTGGCCCCATGCCATGGTGGCAGGCTGCTGTCCCAAGTCTAGACCCTCCCTCGGGGGCAAGCTGCAGTCCTCTCCTTGGCCAGCCTCTCCAGCAGCTAGTGGGGCAAACAGATTGCCCTTGTAGCCAAGAAAGCTAATGGCATATTAGGGTGCATTAGAAGGAGCATTCCCGCAGATCTAGAGAAGTGATTATTCCCCTTTATTCGGCACTGGTGAGGCCAGATCTGGAGTACTGCATCCAGTTCTGGGCCCCCCGCTACAGAAAGGATGTGGACACATTGTATAAAGTACAGTGGAGGGCAACCAAAATGATTAGGGGCTGACGCACATGACTGACGAGAAGAGGCTGAGGGATTTGGGCTTATTTAGTCTGCAGAAGAACAGAGTGAGGGAGGAATTGAGAGCAGCCTTCAACTATCTGAAGGGAGGTTCCAAAGAGGCTGGAGAGAGGCTGTTCTCCGTGATGACAGATGGCAGAACGAGGAGCAATGGTCTCAAGTTGCAGTGGGGGACGAGAGGCACTGGAATGGGTTCCCCAGGGAGGAGTTGGAATCTCCATCCCTAGAGGTGTTAAGTCCCGGCTGGACAAAGCCCTGGCTGGGATGACTGAGTTGGGATTGATCCTGCTTTGGGTAGGGGGCTGGACTCGATGACTCCTGAGGTTTCTTCCAGCCCTTTGATTCTGATTCTAGTTCTCAAGGCAGTTGACTACACTCTAATTTAAACCATTAAGGCTTTACAGTGTAATGCCCACATGTTTCATTGACTCCCACAAGCACAGAAAGGGTCACCAGATGTTTGCTGGAGACCTCGTGGGAAGATTTAGCTTTAAGAAGGAAAGCAAGTCTCTGGCCTTTTCCATACCGTGCAATCCAATGGATACAAGAGGGTTCTCGACGCAAGCATGAGCATTTGGAAAACACATAGAAGCGCTGACAACCTCCATGGTACCCTGGGCAAGGTGGGGGGGGCAGTTCTGTGCTTCTGGCAGGGGCGGGGCTAAGGGCAGCCAGCCCTCCGCTCTGCCCAGAATGCAGTTCACACCCTCCACCAGCCCTCAGAGCTGCCCAGGACTCCAGCTACCACCTCTGGTGCAGTGGCAGCAACGGTGTGGCTGGAGGAGT